GCTCCGAAAGCTGTAGATGAAAAGAAATTGCTAAATAAACACAAAAATAATGCATGGGCTACCCAAGGGTTAGATCACTGGTAAATAAATGTGGTTAAGTTTAAGATTTAAGTTTTAAGACCGATATTTAAAGAAATTAATTTTCTTAAATGTATTAAACTAATATGGGGTTTGCATCCTTAAAATGCCTAAAAATTAGTCTCTAAGTGTAAGAAAATTGATTTAGAGATATATGACTATAAATATTTTAAAAAAAATGCTTTTCTATCCTATGTCTTTTAGGTATAGGTTAAAAGTATATTTTTGCTATAAAGATATATAAAAAAACTATAAAAATTGATATTAATTTTAATATTTGTGCTAAATGAATAAATTTAATTAGATAATTAATAAATTAAAGATTAATTTTTATTTTTTAATATAAATTTATGAAAAAAAATATATTTAATATATTTTTAATATGTACACAAAGGGCACATGTTAGATTAAAAAAAAAAAAAATGCATGGGCTATATCACCGTAGCTTGTCATCTTCCCCATATGCCTTTTATCTTGTATTGTTCCACAACCCTAAATGATAACAAAATTGCCTGAGCATATGTTTTATTTACACTAGCCATGTCTCCATGCGTAGTACTCTCTTTTTTTTTTTTTTGACCAACTTTACAAGGGTGGGTATCGAACCCATCATGAGGAGAGAAAAATGCACTGCAAGTCAACCCTAAAACCGCTTGGCCGGAAGAACCAAGTGCATGCGTAGTACTCTCATGACGAGATAAGAATAAAAGTTCAATTTGCATGGTTCGGTCTCCGTGTTTGAATTAAGGATAAAATTATGCAAAATCTAGAATTTTATATAGAACTTTTATTTTCGATATTCCCAATATTTTCATTGCCTTTATTTTTTTTAAAAATATTCCCAATCTTCTTGATTCAAGAGATGCATAATATACGGACCGACCTATATTTAGTGGTTTAATGTTTTGGGATTCTTAAGGTAGTTCAACTCTCATTTATGTCTTGAATTCTCCATAAATTTCCTTGCTTCAAAAAATTTTAAAAAAAAATTATCAATACCAAAGTCGATGAAAAATTCAAGACGATTAATATAATACTGGGGTTGTGTGGAATGGCACAATTTTTTTTTTTTTTGAACAAGGGTAATTATAGGAAAAAAAGAGAAATAGATTAATTTATAGGTTGGAGTGGAGAAATATTAATAACACGTAAATCAAATATAAATATTTAAGTAATTAATGAGATTTAAATTTTTAATTAATTTTGTCTAAATATTACGACTTACAGATAAATTATTAAAGTCTGAAAGACCAATTTAAAATGGCACAAAATTAATCCTTCTATAGGTGTTTCTTCGGTGGAAACATCAGAGTGGTTGAAATTGCCATTTTTGGTGCAAGATTCTTATGGTTCCAAACTTCCAATTAGCTTGATTTTGGGACTATAAAGAATTCACTCAAACTTCTCTATTAGCTTAGCTTCTCCTCCAAACATATTTTGCTTTTCCTTGTTTATTGCTTCATCTTCCTTTTGACCAATCTTTTTTTTCCCCCTCATTTTCTTTGGTGGAAAACCATTTGTTAGCTCCAACAACCAGCTAAACAAATGTGTAAAAAATATTTATTCAAAGAGTGACCTCTATTAGGTGACCATCTCCATCAATACCCTTCTCAACTGGACTCACGTTTGCACTTACTGTTGTAACTGCCTAATATAAAGTATTAATGCCTTGTCAGATTGAAAAAGAGATGTCATTGGCACTAGTAAAGGTGTAAAAAAAGTCTCTTGCTAAGATTGGTCCTTTCAATAAAGAACAACAACAAAGGTGTAAAAAAAAGTATCAATTTTATAATTTTTTTATTTAAAGATCTCTATCAATAGCATCTCTTTCTCCAAGGAATCACTTTAAAAATAAACTTTTAATTACAAAATTGTGTATGTTAAATTAATTTTTTTAATATTAAATTTAAAATAAAGTATAAAAGATTAATACATATTAATTTGATTAAGATTTATATTTAAAAATTAAAATTTTATTTTATTAAATATTAATATTTAAAAATTTATTATGTATTTTAATATATTAATTTTTAATAAAATAAATTTTTTTAAATTTTAAATTAAATTTAAATAAAATAAAATAAAATAATTTAAAATTAAAACTTTAATTATTTTTAGATTTCCTTCTAATATAATTTATAAAATAGTAATTATTTATTAATATATTTCAAAATAGTTATAATCAACTAATGTGATACATAACCTTATATGATTTCTTCCAACACAAATGGAGTGATGATAATAAATGAAATTCTTCACCCTTTCTCACGCCGAGGTAGCCTGCTTCACGAAAGAAGAGTAACCCAACTCTAAATCAGCTCACTTTTTTACCCTCTGTGTTACTCAAATTTGAACCATAAATGAAGAAATTGAAGAACTATTGTATCCACATCCGGCATCATCAAGCCATGGAGCGGAAATGGATCTTTCCATTAACGATTGGTTCTTTAGTTTCTATGTTCTTGATATTTCTGACTACTCTCTCCTCTCAGGATGGCACCTACCTCCTACCCTTTTACCGTTCCATTGCTTCCACTTCTGGGTCGTCGGTTTTTGTCGAATCCAAGCTCAAACCCATTCCAATTTCCGACCTTCCGCCGCCTCCGCGGTTTGCTTACCTCATTTCGGGCTCAGCCGGGGATGGTGGGATGCTCCGACGCACCCTCCTTGCCCTATACCACCCGAGGAACCATTATGTTGTTCACCTCGACCGTGCGGCTAGTCCCGAGGAGAGACTTGATCTGCATAATTTTGTCAAGGATCATCAGGTCTTCGCTGAGATTGGGAATGTCAGGATGATTGTCAAAGCCAATCTGGTGACGTATAGGGGACCTACTATGGTCGCCAATACCCTTCACGCGGCGGCCATCTTGCTCAAGGAAGGAGGAGACTGGGACTGGTTTATCAATCTCAGTGCTTCTGATTATCCTCTTGTTACTCAAGATGGTGAGTTGGGTATTGCTTTGTGAATTTGATTTTGGGTTATTGCATCTCTCTTTTGAGCTTGAATTTGATTATAAATCTGAATTCAGATCTGCTGCATGTGTTTTCATTTCTGCCGCGGGATCTAAATTTCATTGATCATACGAGTAATATTGGATGGAAGGAGTGAGCATCTTCCTTACCCTTTTACTGCATTTTTCAATCGCTTGTGTATTTCAGTTTTATTTATTTTTGGAAGCTTATTGCTGGGACACTGAGATTGTAGGTTTCAAAGAGCAAAGCCAGTTATTGTCGATCCGGGCTTGTATATGCAGAAGAAAGCTGATGTATTTTGGGTTACACAGAGGAGAAGTGTGCCAACAGCATTCAAACTCTTTACAGGTGCAAATCTTGCATTATCAACTTGCTTCTAAGTTTGAGTTTCCATTTTAGGAAATACATGAGTTTGTGCCACTTGCTGTGTTTAGATTCTATTTGCACTTTTAGAAAGGTCTATTAAAGGTGTGATCTTTATAGACATTTTCTGATTCTGTTTGGTTTCAGGGAATCATTTTTGGTTACTATCATGTTTGTGGGAGAGATTAAAAAATCAGCCCTTTAGTTAGTATTTCCACTGGATGAATTTGTTGATGGGTTTATGATAATGGGATTGGAATATAAGTATAAGTACTTTAGTAGACAATATTAAAGAGGCTGTTGTACCAAAAAAAAAAAAAATATTAAAGAGGGTGTAATTGGTGCAATATGGTTGACGAGAGTATGATATTGTTTTCATGATATCTTCTTTTGAGTAAATTAAAGGTCAAAGGAATTACTGGAATGTTGAATCCTATTCCATTATTTATGTGGGTGGAATTACTGGAACTTTAAATCCTATTCCATTAATTGTGCTGGATCATGTGCAGAACTGGGTTTCTAGTTAGTCAAACATTTGTCTCAATTATCTTTAATTTCGGCCATGCTAGTAAGGGAAGAAGAGTTACATGCAGTAGAGGAACTACTGCCATATTCCTTTGGTTTTATCCCTGTTGTTACTGATGTGTTAGCTCTTGCTTTTTAGCCGGCAGTTATGTATATTGATTAATTTCCTTCTCATGTTAAAAGTTTATAGGATAGGATCTCTACTAATTGCCTCAGATTTCAATGTTATGAAAGCAATCTAAGTAAAATGAACTCTGAAGCCTAAAATTAGTTCTTTTTTGTTTGAAGGCTTTCGGATAAAAAATTTATGCAGTTTTAAGGAAAAATGGTCTAGAATTGTTGTCTGCAAGATATTTATAGTGTTTTTCTTCATGTTGTACATACTGAATTTTCATAGTGTAATCAATTGTGGTTTATTCTCATATGTTGGGGAAACTCATAGATGTTTTATCTGTTAACTCTATTATAACGGTGGTTCTAACCAAGTATCTGCCCTTTTTGTGGCAGGTTCTGCTTGGATGGCTCTTTCTCGCCCTTTCATTGATTATTGTATATGGGGATGGGATAACTTACCTCGAACAGTGCTTATGTATTATGCAAACTTTCTTTCCTCCCCTGAAGGCTACTTCCATACAGTCATTTGCAATGCACAAGAGTTTCGTAACACTACTGTGAACAGTGATCTCCATTTCATATCATGGGACAACCCTCCCAAACAACATCCTCACTACCTCAAGCTTCCAGACATGCAACGGATGATTGACAGTAATGCTCCGTTTGCAAGGAAGTTTCCTCGAGAAGATCCAGTGCTTGACAAAATTGATTCTGAGCTCTTATCTCGGCGTCCAGACATGATTACTCCTGGAGGCTGGTGCATGGGAAGTAATGAAAATGGTACTGATCCATGTTCTGTTGTTGGTGACCCTACAATCCTCAGGCCAGGTTCTGGATCGAAAAGGCTGGAAACTTTGATCGGTTCCCTCTTATCTAGCGAGAAATTTAGACCACGGCAATGCATATAAGATGGATAAACCTAAACTAAACTTGCTACTTTAGGCACTTTTAACAAAGATTGAGATTGATTTATTTGAGAAGATGGAGATGGTAAATGGAGTAATCCTTGTTCCTTCTAGTAGGGATAAAAAGAATGCTGAAAGTATATATGACCTGTCTGATTCACGTTGAGCATAGCTCCACATTTTATAGAAAGAATATCGGTTGTACATAGAGCTGGGAACATCACACATGTGATTTGTCCATCATTTCCTTCTGTACTACCCATGACCTAACCAATATCATCTAGCATTCTGAAGCACAATTTGAAAAGGTTAGCTGTAGAGAAATGAAAAATGGAAGGAAATTCTGTTGTATAATGACTTTTATCTAAATCGTACACTTTTATCTAAATCGTACACGAGATGACATTCCTTTTTCCTCTAAGATTTTACATTGGTTCATCATCAGAAGAGTGTCTCATACAAAAGCCCCAGTATTGCCATTTTTCCTACATCAATCTGAGCTGTTTCCTATCTGTATCGTCGGGCAGCGTAAGGAAGACGGCATGTATGCGTTGTACAATAGCAGCAAACTGATGATCACCCCTTACCGTATTGAAACGTAAGTACTCCAATTTAGAAATAAAACCCAACAAAATTATATAAAAAAAAAAAAAAAATCAAATGTATCTTGCTTCAATACAGCCCGTTGACTAAGGGCAGCGTAAGGAAGATGGCATGTCTATGTCGTATGATAGCAGCAAACTGATGACCACAACTTACCATATTTGAACGTGAGTACTCCAATTTAGAAAAAAACACCCTACAAATTTTTTTTTTTTTTAAAAATTCAAATGTATTTTGCATCAATAACAGCCCATTGACTAAACCAATACATTATAATCCAAGTGAAAGATATCATGATATAACCTTATATGGTCTCAACTCCTTATGATATAGTCTACCGGTTCACACTACATAAATTAAAAGCTTTATCAAAGAAGAGGCGTATATATCTGTAGTACCTATGATATTCTGTTCTACCACATCGTGGGAAGCTTGGAGACTTCATAAAAATTCAGTTGAAAGGAAATAGCATGAACAAATCAACAAGTCCAACAGACGCTAATCCCAATTGAAAGAGTAATCTCCCCATAAAGATCAAGGGAATGCCACTTTGTCAAATTGCCATAACAAGGTGTTATCAAAGATCAGCTTAGCTTACAACATCTTTCACTTGCATTTCTAACCCAGAACTCCATAACGAGGTATATTTTTCATTGCTTCATTTTGAAACTTCAGTTTCCAACTTATACTGTAGGGATGGTGACAGGCTCAATAGCCGTTAATAAATTGCCTTACTTTGATTTCAAGCATCCCCAATAAAAGTCGGAAGCATAGAGAATCCTTTGGTATCACAGCTAAAAATTTATTCAAACAAAAAAAAAAAAACTCAAAAAAAAAATTCAAAAGAAGATTTGGAAACTTAAAACACAATTTAAGGTTTCCAATTATAAAATAAAAAAATTATTAAAATTACCATTGCTTGGAAATGTTGCTGACTTTTTGATATGTTTTAAAGAGATAATTTAATAACTATTTAATAGCAATAAACAGTATAGAAAAACTTTACTGAATTACATTCCAATGAAAAGGTCCAAAACAGCATAAAACAGTAAAAAGATTTCCAAAGTAAATGTAAAATAAAGCATGTATATATGAAAAAATAAAACCATTATTTAATCCATATTTTATCATTAAATGTTTTAATAATCATTTTAGTTAGTTTCATATCAGTGTATAATCATATCTTATAACATTTGAAAGCATATTTAATATGTATAGGTAAATAAATTCCTCATTGAAATATTCTGAAAATAAAAAATATATAATACAAAAAAAAAAACAAAAAAACAAAATACAACTAAAATAAGCAAAATAAGGACTGGCTATCTCCATGCAGCAAATGGCTACATCAACGCACTTCTTCCACACCTCTTTCATCCAGCAAATGAAATCCACTTAGAAAAGGTATAAGAAGTGTGTTTTGCAGCCATAAGCTGTATGTAAATAGTCCCAACAGAAGGTTTCGCATAGCACACTCTAGTATTAATCATTTTGTACAAACATGCTGCCAGAAAACATACTTAATGACTTTCCATTTAGAAAGTAGAGTGTCTGAAGTTGTGGCAAGAAGTTACCTATGAATTTAACTTCAAGAAAAAATGACTTTCCACTCATCTTTTATCTTTTAAAAT